GGGAGTTGCTCTTCAGTTTTTGAGAAGTATTTGCGATGGCCATGATACCATGAAGCACAGAAGATAATCACAGTTGGAAGATAGAAGTGTGCTATAGCAGTGGAAGAAACGGCGGTACTGTCTTCTGTGTAAGCGAGATTCAAGCTAAAGCAATTGTCGCTCGCACATACTTCAAACTTTCGACCGAACTTAGCAAACAAGCCGGACGATATCAATATTAAAATGACAATGTTCAGCTTTGAGTTGAATCGTTCTCGAAGATGTCTTCCAGCAGCTATGGACACCATCAACGCTGCAAGGAGATAAATTGAGAGGAACGAAGAACCTGCCGAAAATGTTCGCCAAAGATGTTGCTTCGAGACCTCAAGCATGGCGTGCGTTATAATGTTGCAAATGTTTAGAAGTAATTGAACTCTTGCGACGGTGTCAAAGCGGTTTGATGCCGAACAAGATTTGCACAGTCGAAAAAATAAATAACCGTTGGTCGCTAAGCCACCGACGTAAAACAGGTGAAGTAATACAACAGCCATTCTTTCAGCAGTTTGGCGTTATTAAACTTTCGTCTCTCGGGTACACTGATCGGCAAAGAGTTCTTGTTCTCGTCTTTTACAGTCCTCTCTTACCTTTGTTGTCGATTCTACCGTTCTGATCTCCGAAGGGATTCAAACTATTGCCCAAAGATCATATCTATTCTTGTTATCGCGGCTTGTTTCACCTGCCAATAGCTTGCAACTACAGCAACGGCCCGCTGATTAGTTTCGCAAATTTACATGTCTAACTGCCATGCAAATGCGAAATTAATTTTGAATGGTTCTTTTATTGTGCCAAGCCCTATAGCTTAAGGCTAATTTATCCCGGCTGTTTAAAGCAGCGTCAACACTTCGCCGAAGAAATTTAAAAACGCAGCTTTATTTCTACGGTTAGGCCTTCTGAAAATGGAGGCAGTTTTCGAAAACGCTCTACAAACCAGAAGATTTTGAAAACGCTGGGTTTCTTGTGTACATAAAACATGTTGAAAGCGGAGCTTTTCGAAAACGATCGTGTCACGATAATCCCGTGATTTCCCTGACCGAGATATTTCCTCAAACACAAATCCAAAATGACCGGTGATGTGGGTGGAGTCTAGGAATCCAACGAAAACATTTCCTTACAAGCCAGTGACGAGTGCTGGATCTTTTGTAGGCCTGGATCAGTAAAAGTTTGATCAATTCCACAGAAGTAATTAGAAGACACGGCAAGGGGAGAAGAGATTGCTGCAAATTGCTACAAATCTGACAAATGCGTTAAAATCAAACTGATAAAATGATTTGCGGGAATGGCGGCAAAATTCATTTTTCAGTGGAAAGAAACGATCACTGGGTCGTTTTCGGTCGTCGGTCGGCCTCTGTTATCGAGTTGGTTTCGAGTATCTAGGTTCATAATACTCGGATAGTTCAGTTTATATTTCGTCTTTCAAGCAACGTTTTTTTT